AGTCATATACTTCATGCCTTTCACCTTTTCTGAAGGCAAAACAAAACAAAAGGTGCTTGCATTATAGATAAAAGTTTTGATTTTTTCTGGAAAGCAGCAGTTTTCAAAATAAATACTTTTTACACTTCACAGTAGCGGAGTCATTTCGGTAGCGGTGTTTTTGTGCCTTTTGTGTGCTGCTACTTTGAATTTGAAAGCAATTGTTTTCAGATCAGTCGATTTGTAATGTTGCTGTATTATTACTATCAAATTTGTTGCATTCATTGTCATGCTGCATCTTCCCTCAATGTTCTTTCTAGGTGTAAGGTAGATTTTTTTATGTAGAGCAAACATACTAGAATAAGAGACTACGGTGTTGAAAAGGAAAAATACATGTGTTTCTAGTATTCAAGCTTGTAAAAGCTGAATATAGTAGAAAAAGAAGGAAACATAAAATACTTCACACATAATCATGTCGGCCTTCACAACTTTATTAAATGAAATATCTCGCCAATTAACGATCTACGTTGGACTGTTTGTGTTTATATTTGGTACAGTTGGTTCATTATTAAATATTTACATATTTTCATCAAAAAAATCGTTTCGATCAAATTCATGTACAGTGTTTTTACTTTATGCATCTGTCTACGACTTACTATATTTATTCAATGCAGTATTACCACGAATATTAACTGCTTTTAACATTGCTCCAACAACGACATCAAGGGTTTATTGTAAATTAAAATTTTATTTTACATTACAATTTTCATTAGCAGCAATTACATTTGTTCTTTTAGCAGCAGTCAGTCGTTGGTTGTGTTCGTGTCGTAATGCGAGATATCGAGAATGGTCGAAAATCAAAAACATACGGTTATCAATTTTTATTACAGTTATTTCCTGTATGGTAACACAGGCACCCGCTTTAATTTATTATGATATTCTGAATAACAAGTGTGGGTCAATATCAACAGCTTTTTCATTTTATGTGTCTTATTTTTTAAGTTTCATTCAATTTGCAGTTTTACCGATCATTCTACCAGTTTACTTTGGTGTTAGGACATACAAAAATCTTCGTCAACGAACTGCTCCTGTTGTAAGAGCTATCACCGTTCAACATGGGATTAGTATTCGTCAACGTATTGAAAATCAATTGACGACAATGTTACTATTACAAATATGTGCTGCAACTTTATTCAGCGCACCATATGCGGCACAATTAATCTATTCAAACATTACAATGTATGTAGCAAAAGATTTACTACGTATGGCACAAGAAAATTTATTTGACACAATTGTTCGTCTTCTACTCTACCTTAATAATGCTTGTAGATTTTATATTTATTTTATATCATCACGTGAAATTCGAAAAATATTTATTCATTAATAACAGCATACGCGAGTGATAAAAAGAACATCTTTTCTTGTCCACATCGGAATGATTGCTGATGAGAGTTCGCTTTTCTGGTAGATATACCCATAACAGAGTAAAAGTAATCAGACCTATGTTTTAAGCGCATCTATTCAGAGAAAATTTAGTTTAGTTAATGACTGTTTTTCAGCCTTATTTGTCCTTCTACTTTTGATTTGAAAGCAATTCTTTTAACTACTATCTCGCATTAATCTACTTAAATAAAACGTTTCAAAATTTTTATGCAGAAGCTCTCTCGTGCGCCAGGTTAGATTGTTGCCTATACTCAATTTTTCTGTTATTTTGAGCATCATCGTTTCAATTTCCGTTTTGTTTAGCTGATGTAAAACGATATACCGGACAAATTTTGTCAGAGAAATAATCGGCATCTTGCAAATTTGGAGATATCTCTTCTCGCACATTTATCTTTCCTGCACATTTTTAGATCGTTTTCTGGTCATTTTAATGATCTCGTTTTAAGCCTTAAATAGACCATTTCTATAGAAGTCTAAAAATGACCTTAAAATGAAGTTTTGGGCAATCGAATTTCCACCAAAATACTGGCTGTAAATAGGCCGCTTTTAAGTCGTTTTTTCCTAAGGCGTAAAAAATATCAGTTAACAGGCATTTAAAAGTTCATTTATAAGTCCTATAAAGAGCTAACTAACATAAGGCCTTAAAATAATTCGCAGCCAAATGACACTGTTTTAAGACCCTAAAGTGGCCGTTTGAATAGTTTAAAAAGAACGTAAAACGGTGTAAAAATAGTATATTGGCGAGAAGGATTTTTTATTGCAGATTTTCATTTAGACAGAAAGCGATTAAGCAGTTTTGCTACCTAAATAAAAGACAAGAAATAATTTAATAAAGCATTTTTATTGAAAATTTTACAGAAAAAATCGAAAGTAATGAAATCGAAGGAACAGTGGAAGCATGGCATGAGCTTGGCGTATAAAAAACGTTAGAAAATAAAAAACAAACTGAAAAAGAAAGAATTAAATGTTAGATTTGTTGCTAGAAAGAGGAAAATACCGAAAGTAAAGTATTCTGCTTTGAGTAATTGAAAAGAAAGTCATGTAATTCAGCTATAGCTTAGACAGTTCATGAATAGTTTGCTCGAAATCTTTATTTAGACTTTTACTTTTTCTTTCTCACACTCTGAAACACAGCACTTCGCTCATTTCACGCAATTAGTGAAACAAAGTCATTTGAGCTAAAAAGATGGACAATATCAGCCGAAGAAATGAACTGGATGCACTTAATTTTGAGAGAATGCGAAGCAACTTCTAAAGATTCAAGATCCTTCGGTTTTGTTTGAAACTATTTTAGTCTAAAACGCGGATGTATCGAAAATAAACATCAAGTAAACAAACACTTAAGAACATCCATAGTAGCGGAATGAAAGAATAAATAACCTAACGCAATTATCAATGAATAGTTACAGTAATTATTATAGTCTAACGGCCATGGGGAAAAAGTGCTCCCTTTTGTGTTTTTGTCGTCGATTTCTTGCGGGCGCTTTTTCCACCTTAAATATATTGCAAAAGAATCGCATTTGATAATTATCCATTCAAAATAAATTTGGAGCTGATATATTCAAAATGCATTTCGACCACACTAGCGATTAATCGCTAGTGTAGTCGAAGTGCATTTTGAAAAATCGACGGAATCTGTAGCAACGATATTACTTGGCCGTTAGATCATTAGTGTCAATGCTAGTCAAACGTTTACTAATTATAAAATCTTATAAATTTCTTTACCGCAATTAAGAAAAAGCTTAATAATAAACGATACTTTTAAGTGATTGATTGAGTAGAGTTGTCGAGTGGGATGTTATATAGATACAAAAGAAAAGATCGATAGGATATGTTAAAGTAGGGATGGCACTCCAGTTTCTTAGAATGAATGTATATATTGTTTGTCTGGTTGAGTTGATAAAATGAATGAAGCATTACAGATCTCTCTTATATTTGTTTTTATTAATATGTTTTGTCGACAACGATCCATTAATTCAATATTATACATTAATCCGTAAAAAGAAGCATTACATGCTTCTATGGCAGAATTAACTAACAACGTTTTTACTTCTTCATTTAATGTATTTTACCATTTTATGTCAATAACTAAATAGACTTTAATGTTTTCTGATGTTTTCCGATATCTCGTATGAGATTGTGTTGGTTGTATGATTACAGAGAAACATTGGGACAACTGTTATAGAATAAGTCACAACAGACGTAAAATTCTTTGTGAATTAGATATTGCGAATTTTTTCATGCTCAGTATTGTAATTTAGATTAATTATCGTGTCCTCGGTGTAATTCTGATCTTGGCCGAATATAAAAGAAATTTGAGCGGTAAAAATAATTACTATTCTTACAAAATCCATCATACCAGTAGAATATAAATATACAGAGAGTGTTGGCAAAAAGGATACAAGACAATACTAATGATGATGGACAATCAACCAACTGTGCCGATTCTAGCGAAAGTTCTGCTCTACGAGTGTCAGGCACACATTACTTGTAGTAGTACTGTTAATGAATGATGGTTTTTTTCCCATATACGCTAAAAATAATTATCGTTTCATATGACATGGATGATGTGATGATATGCTCTGTGTTTTGTTACTATGTGCTTTGAAAAAAAACATAATCTAATCAATGTATGATGATACAAGACGAGTGGAAGATTGAAAAATAAGAGCGAACTGTAATACTTCATTCATTTTATCAACTCAACCAAACAAACAATATATACATACATTCTAAGGAACTGGAGCTCCATCTGATGCTGTTTGTTGATTTTTTGCCTTCCTTTTCCTACTTTAACATATCCTATCGAGCTTTTCTTTTGTATCTGTATAACATCCAATTAGACAGATGATGAGGAATATGATGCACTAATTGGTTTTGAGTTTTGACTTTGCTTTCGTAGAGGAAACTGCATTTCAAAATGACCTTACTGTTGCACTTTTGCATGGTCGTAAGACAAACGGTTCTAGATGAACTGTGCACTTTCAAGGGTTCACTGGCATAATTTGTTCCTCCTCGTGCCTAGTATATAGCCGAAAAGTTCAAGCTCGATCGATTCAGTGCTGACCGAGAAAATTAAGTTCCAAAATCCATAAAATCATGGAAAAACACCATCTTTCTCTTCCAATTGATTTTTGGACCATGCGCCGATCTTTAAAAAAATTTTGAATAACATAGTTGGAATCAGCGCCAAGTTGTCTATCGAATTAATTTCTCTGGCTCCGTTTGCACAATACCTCACTGTAATGGTGGGACAGTACTGAAAGAATTACCCACATAACATTCCTATATTCAAATCTTTAAGCGACTGGGGAATAGCTGATTCAGTGAGTTTTTCCATGTCGTAGCAAAATATGTTTTTTGATGTTTCTACTCCTGATGTGGGAAGGTTCAAAACTGCTGAAGCGCTTTTGAACTGCTATCCACTCAAACAGTACTTTTAGATGGAGTGAACAAGAGTGTGAGCCACTAGACAACAGTTACTTTCGAAGGAGAACATATTGGTAAGTGACATACGGAAGGAATGCTTGACCTGAGTTACTTGTTTGTATGAGTTTATTTACAGTAAACCGATTTCTATGAAATGAATAAATGACGGTTAGAGTAACAAACTGAAATTTGCAAAACCAGATTTTGAGTTAAAAAAATGAACCTGCGGGTTTAACATTATTCCAGTCAACGTACTCGTTGGTCATTCCACCGATAATTACAGTTACTTTTGAACTATCTTCAGTAAAATGAAGGCTGATACTTCCTTTTCTTCCATCATACTTTGATTGCTTATCGTTTATTTCAACTATTGAATTTCGTAATAATCTTGGGATATTTACATAACCAGGACCTTTTTGTATTAAGCTTAAGCATCCAGGTTCATACCATAAACGTCTTTCATCTTTAAGTTTAACTCTTATGCCATTTGTTGGATGAACAAGATCTACTATACCTTGTTGTTACTTTTTGGCTTTTTGGAATCTAAGATAGTTGGTTCTCTCATGCATCACTGCGTCCTACTATAGTTTTTGTATAGGAAACAATTTACATCGCAAACTGCAGCAACGTATTTTACTTAATCGGGGCACCTCCATCGCCTGCCAATATAAATATGAGTTATCAGCTGAAACTTCTTAAAACGGGTGTATAGAAACAAGAGATGAATAGAATTTTAGCATAAATCAAACATTATCAATGTCATCTAAAATCTAGTGCATCCTCGCGAAGCGCAGGTTACGCTGAAAAGAGAGAACATCATCTATCCTAGTTCTATATGGTAATAACAACCAAATAGTCAGAAGGACATTCAGGTGCCTTCACAGCCAAATCAACTGGAATATGAACTTAAGAGCTGATTTAGACGTATAAACAATTTTTATGTTAAAATACCACGCATTTCAACAGTGTTTGTTATATTATAGAAATGTTACTGAAAGAGCTAAAGCATTTGAAGAGATTTTCCTCGAACCTATGCATAGTTTTGTGCCCAATATAACTATAACTATAGAACCGAGGGACAAGGTTTGATTTAGTGACAAATTATGTGTTTTGTATAAAAAGAAATGCAAGTTGTACCGTAAAAGTAAAAATTCATTATACCACTTGGAACTCTATAAAGAAGTAGTAAAGAAATTTAAAAAGAATGTGTTTCTGCAAAAAAAGTTTACTATAAAAAAGTAAACGAGAAAATTTCTACTTCCTCGAAGGCAACAGCCGCAGGACGGACAGTTACAGACTTATGGGAAACATTTCCTTCACCGTGAAAAAGCGAAAACTAGACCAAAATCCACTTTTTTGGCCTAATTTTTGCTTTTTCACTGTGAAGGA